GAGTGTTCATTTTCAATTATACAAGGGAGGAAATAAATTGGTTAAAAGTATTTCACATTTAATGAACTTGTAGTGATTCTTCTCAAGGAAGACAGCATATATATTTTATCAATATGTAATCACTGTTTTGAAAGATTTGAATTAACCTAGGTCAGATGTTCTTTTAAAATGGAACAGTTTGATTTCATTGGGCAAAAACATCTCATACAATTGATTTTGACTCAATTTACTGTTCCAGGTTGGAGGAGCGTTTTGGACATGCAGATAATTATCTCATTTAGACCTTTTAAAGGCTGATTTAGTGTTGGTATAATGTAGTTACAGATAACTATGGAACAGTTTACATCTGCTATCTTCATGAGCTCTAATGCTTAAATCATCATTTGTTGTTATGGCCAACTTTGATACTCAATAAACCACTATTTTTAGCTTTACAACATATTCTCAGATTTCTTTTTCTCTACTCAATTTGGCCATGGCAGCATTTTTAATTTATTTAAAGAGTTAGTGTATTTTGTTATTCTCATTGGTACTAGGTGTTAAAATGTTTGTTTTATACTTGATGAAACCAGTATAGAGAAACACAAAGAGATTTATGCAAGGTTAAAGAAGAATTCAGTGCTAGAGTCTGGAATTAAACAATGGATATAATTTTGTGTTTATATATGCACAATAAATTTTATTAGAATAAATTCTGTATGGTTTTTAATAATTCACATATTTCAATTTATTTGAAGCTTCTCCTTGAAAGCATACCGCATGTTGTACAAAACAAAACATGTTTATTTGTAGTTAATAATTCTCAGGGGTCATCATGTGCTTGATAAACACATTATATACAGAATCACAAAAGACAATGTGACTTGAAACCTGAACTTTTTATCATTAAAACAGATGGGAAGGCATCTGGTATATTCCGTACATCAGAGCCACAGAGCACCCTGATTAATGCCACAGAGATATTGATTTCACAAAACTGGGTCAGTGACTGAATTTCAGGCAATGCCATTAAGGTAAATTGTGAAAGGTTTAGATATTTGAGAAGGAGTAACAAACATTTACGAAATGCCTTACAAATACTGTTTCAGTTCATCCTTGCAGTTCTTTGTGGTAAATATTTTTATTTTAAAGCTGAGGACAGTGAGGTTCAGAGAGATAATCTTGCCTAAGGCAAAGGGCAAAGTCAGGCCTATCCCACTCCAATGCCAGGAGACCACACTGCCTACCAAACATTTAACTATTATTTTCAAAACAAGGGCATTCATTGGGAGGGAAAAAAATCAAACAAGAACTTACTTGTTGGAAAGAAGAAATGTAACATAGACACCCATGTAGAAGTTTCTTCCAGAGATTCTCCTCTAGGACCTTCATTGCTCCACAGATATTCGTTTGGCGACACAGAATTCAAGAATCCTTAAGGAAAAGCGAAATTATTAATCCCAACATAGAAGGCATTTATAACTCTCTATAGTAATTATCTTTGCTTCAATTGATTGTGGAAAGTCTAAGAGCTAACAGATATTGTACTTACATCACATAACAACGTAGGTACCATTAATAATCAGAATGTCAAAAAGCTTAGATTATAGGCCGACACATCCCATTGTTGCACTGTAAACTGATTTATAATAGTGAACCTGCCTCTGACAAGCAGTGCTAACACTGAGAGGCTCAACCAATTAACAACTTGGAATCAGTAAATATTCCAACTAAATCAGACTCTGTCATGGAAACTCCTGGAAAAAATGTTGGCTTTTTTATTTACTGATAAAAACCAAGGCCTTAGGAGACACGGTAAGTCTTTCCTTATCCTTCTTCCTCACTACTTCAAACAACCTGCTTTTAGTTTCATTTGCATGATTCCCTCCTATGTAAGAGGAAACGATATCCATCTTTGTTACCATAAGATGAATTTGTCCATATCGTTAAATATTTTCCAACACTATCTTTAATAACTTCACGGTATTTCATTATATGGCTCTATTATAACTGAGCAAATAATTCCTCCAAAGAAAGACATTTGAGTTGTTTACAATTTATTGGTATACAGAACATGGCATAGAACTCATAAATAAAGAGAACAGATTGTTGGTTGCCAGAGGTGGGGCGGTAAGGGTGGAAGAAATTGGTGAAGGGGATCAAAAGGTACAAACCTATGGTTATAAAATAAATAAACCATGGGAATATAATGTACAGCATGGTGACTACTGTTAACATTACTGAATTGCATATTTGAAAATTGCTAAAAATATAAATCTTAAAAGTTCTCATCACAAGAAAAAAATATGTAACTATGTATAGTAAAGGATGTTAACTAGATTTACCATGGTGATCACTTCACAACATATATAAATATTGAATCAAATTACGTTGTACACCTGAAAGTAATATGTTATATGTCAATTATACCTCAATTAGAAATTAAATAAAGAACATACAACGATTATCACTGGAGGTATGTATTTTCAGATATACACAAAAATCTCTTAAGAAAAATTCTTAGTGAATGGCTCTTGACCTTAACCAAGGTACATCAATAGTGGGACATGTGCTGGTTTTCTTGCACTTTCACCTTTTCCCTTATTTCCAGTTTGATGGCCAGAATACTGGTATCTCTTCTGTTTTAATTTGTATCTTTAGTTATCAGCTTACATCTTTCATACAAGAATTGCAGAGTAGAGAATTTAACCCTTAATCTGGCACATATGTTCCATATTTTGCAAGATAGCCAGCTATCATATTTTTTAATGGTGTTCTGAGAAGTGTAAAAGTTTAAAATGTTTTGTGTAATAAAATATATCAGTCTCTTCCTTTACTATTTCTGCCTTTCAGGTCATGTTTAAGAAAGACATTTTATATACTGACATTTCCTTCTAACATTTTTATAGTTTCAATTTTAAATTTAAAACTTTAATCCACCTAAAATATATTTTGAAGTACTTTATGAAGTAGGAATATATTATGTTCCAGTTGTCCTAACACCACTTATTAAATAAATCCTTTCCTATTTATGACATCACCACCAAATTCTGTTTCTTGACTTACTATTCTGTTCCATGAATCTATCTGTTCATACACCAAACCAATACCACTGTCATAATTTATCTTCTATGGTTATGTTTTAATAACTCATCTGGCAATCATTTCATTAGTCTTCATTATCAAAATTTTATTCTCAATTGATGAATCATTTTGTCAAATCAAAAAAAACCATAATATTTTTATTGTAATTATGTTCACTTATTTAACATTCATTCGAAACACATTTATTGTGTGTCTCTTGTGCTAGGCATGAATTCAGTTAAATGTAGACTCATTTGGAGAGAACTGATACCTGAACAAAATTTTCTCACCCAAGAATAAGTTTGTTACTCATTCAAGTCTCTTTTTATCTCCCTGAGTGAGGTTCATAGTTGCATTCATACAAGTCCTGTACCTTTCTTACTATGATTATTCCTATATATCATATATATTTTGTTGTTGTGTGAATATGATCTATTTTACCACACTTTCTACATGAATACTAATGATATATAAAAAAGCTACTGATTTTGGTTTGTGTATTTTCTAATTTACTACCTATCTGACACTTGTTAGCTCTCACTGTTCTTCGGTTTCATTCCAGAACCATACAATCATATTATCACTAAATATAGATGGTTTTGTCTCCCTTCTTTCCAATATTAACAGCTCATTTATTTTTCTTCTCTCATTACATTGCCTAGAACTTCTGAAACTAAGGTGAATAATAGCTATGACAATGGGCATTCTCAAGTCAATTCTGACTTTAATAGAAATGCACTGTTTTTTCATCATTAAGTGTAACTTTGGCTGCTGGCTAAAGATAGATTTTAGATTTTATTTTTATTAAATTAAGGATCTAGTCCTTTAGTCCTAGTTAACTACAAATTTTCTGTTGCTGTTTTGTTTCATTTTAATCAAAAATGGAAGTGGGATTTTATCAAATGCTTTTAATATTTACTGCCATGATCATATTTCCCTCTGCATATTAATTGTTAAATATCAATATATTTCCCCATATTAAACTATTCTTGCATTCCTGAAATAAGCCCACAAGTGTTAATGCTTTAGGTTTCTTTTGCATGCTATCTCTGTAGGTTTTGGAATGAGGATGATAGCTGCTTCATGAAATAATCTTGGAAGTTTCCCATCTTTTTTTCCATACTGAAACAGCTTAAACAGAATAGGAAATATAATAATCTATTAAAAGTTTGGGAAAAGTCATCTATAAATAACCTGAGTCTACATTCTGTGGAGGGGGTAGTTCCTTAGCAACTTTTCACTCCTTTGTGCTCATGAATCAATTTTAGTTTTAATTTTCCTAGAAAATCATTCACATATAAAAATTATTTGATCCAAATGAGAAAATATATTTGCAAGCAACACCTCCGATAAGGGCCTAATATCCAAAATATACAAAGAACTCGTACGACTCAATAACAACAACAACAACAACAAAAACA